TCGATACTCTACTCAAAATACTCTACTCTACTAAACACACCCTTGAAAGTTTTACATCTGCAATTGTCGGAAGGCAAAAAAAAAAAAAAACAATAGGAAGAAAAGAACACAGCTACCGCAGGGCACCGACCAGTCGGGAAAAGAGCCCTCGGAAACCGATCAAAATAAAACGGGAAAAAAAGGCAGGTATAATACCTTCTGCCGACACAAGGGCGAGAGAGGCGACCATACCCACTGGATCTAACACACACCCACATGTCGGTGATGAAACCCCAACCACACGCCTCTATCGGCGGCCACGTCAGGAGGCAATGATGAGATAATGTTCTCCCGTGCCCTGCTCGCATTTAACGACATACGTACATGCCATTACACATACATGTGGGCACCACATCTCAGTGTATGAGGCTTGGGGCACCTTAGTTAGCTCGTGTCGGGCATAATACACCCTTTTTACAAGTGGCGTCAGCGGCAGGATATCATCCCTACAATGTCAACGTCCCGGGTTCGAATCCGGGCACGTGAAAATGGTGTTTTTGTCCGCCGCCAGCCGGTCGGGTTCCGGTTACCGTACATGCTACGGGGGGTGCGTCGTGGTACCCGCGTATTTGTCTACGATGCTGAGCGGTCCGCTCGCTCGTATCCGGGGGGGTATGTGGGCAACACATGTCAGTATATATAAGGCTTGGGGCACCTTATCTCGTGTCGGGTAAACACGCTTTTCACACACAACACGGTAAATAAATATGTTTCCCGCGCCGCACATGCCCCCATACATCACATACAAATNTTTGTCTACGATGCTGAGCGGTCCGCTCGCTCGTATCCGGGGGGGTATGTGGGCAACACATGTCAGTATATATAAGGCTTGGGGCACCTTATCTCGTGTCGGGTAAACACGCTTTTCACACACAACACGGTAAATAAATATGTTTCCCGCGCCGCACATGCCCCCATACATCACATACAAATATAAGTTGATGACGAAAATATACACACCCCGAGACGCGCTTGCTCCGCAACCAAATCTGGAAGGGTGCCACACATAATAATAGAACAACACCCGACAAACCGAGTTCCTTAATCTTCCGTCTACCACTTCCAAATATAACATACAGAACATAGATACACAACAAGATGGCTACCAAACTGCCTTGTTGAGCCTGTTACCCACAGGGAGGGGAGATATCGTTGTATGCTGTCTGGGAATAGACATACAGGTAGCCTTTCGCTCACGCTATGGATTCATTGCTAGTCTATCTTAGACTTGGATTATTTGTTGTGTGATAAGAAAACAAAAAAAGCAAAAACAAAGATAAAAATGGATTATTCGTTGCAATAATACTAAGAAAATAAAAGGGAGGACGCTTCCTACATCCGGCTAAAAAACGTGCTGCAGGGATTGCAGGTGTACCTACTCGGGCTTGCGTACCCTTTCCTTGCTAATAGTAGTTAGTGTGTGTGTTCTTCAGATCTTCTAATGATGGCTCTAGCATTTTGTGACCACGGACCGAGTTTGGCTAGATTTTGGGATTAGCAACTGACACGAGTTTAATGTGAAGAAAACAACAACTAGACTACGCACCAGGGCGTGAGAGTAATGGAGGCAACAGAATAAAGAGGCGGCAGATGGGCAGACAGCCAGATGTATAAAAGCTGTGTGGGAACAGCTTTTGTCTACTATACTGGAACGCAACTGCTACTTGCTGTAGCTGTCTGTGGCTGTGGTAGCGTTCTTCTTGTTGTGCCGCTTGCTGCTGCTGATGATGATGATGATGATGATGATGATGATGCCGCTGTGATGGACAGGGTAATCGATCTACTCCGCATGGAACATGTGCGTACTTGCTGTGAAATCCAAAGGGAAGCGAAATGGTGCGACATGACGTGGCGGTGGTGTCTTGTGTACGTTGAACAAATATGTTCCTGTGTTCCCCGACCACTGACTCGTCAAGCAGCACAACGAGTAAGTAGTTCAACACAGGTTCACCGACCAACCGACCAGCAGGCCAGCAGGTGTTGAAGTCAAATTGAATGTGCCAGTCTACTCGCTGCTCCTAGCGCCTACGTCAGCAGCTGAGCTCGCTGATTGGCCAGAGCCGCCAGCTAGGGGCAACAGCAACTGAGGTGTCAGAACAGCAGCCTTTCACTTCGGAACAAGCGTTTTGGTGCCCAAACACATTGACAACAACAACAACAACTAACAACACTGAAGATTCGTCCGGCTAGACACGGCTTCCCCCCCCAGCGAGAAAGCAAGGAAAGCAAGCAGCACAGACGATGAGCCAAAAGCAACAGCCTCCCGCCGAGAGCGGGAGAACTCCATGTTCGAGGGTGAGGAGAAAGCGGGTCAAAGCGAGTGGCGTTGTTTTGGTGGTGTATCGTTTTTCTTGCTTCGAGATCAATCGTCGGGTCGCGAGTGTCACAACAGGAGCAAGGGGAGGAAAGTGGGTTTCCGCGGGAAGGAAGAAGTGGGTGACGCGAGTCCGCTTCAGGCCTAGTTGGGAGTGCGCGCTTCGGGAGAGGGGAGCCTCGCGGGGGAAAGGGCTCGCCCGGGAGCCAACGAGTTGCGAGTGGTCCTTCAGACCAGCAACTTGTGAGCTAGAACCAGACAGAGGGAGAGTATTTGTGCGTCTCTGCTTTTACTCGCCCTCCTCTTGGTGTATCATCACGTCCAAGGGCAGCGCGCGGGAGAGTTGGGGGAGCGGTCGTGTGTTTACGTGGGCTATGGTTCTTCTTAGGCGTGTGCCACGCATCTCGAGTTGACCGTCCACGCTGTACGGATCGGTCAATCCGCCGCCGCGCCTGGTTGTCGTTCTTGTGTGTTTTTTGGTGTTGATTTTCAACAAGGTTTTCTTGTGAACGACAGGGACCAGTATTTTTGGCCACCTCAATCCCCCGTCCGAGCTGCTTTTGCACGTAGAGCCGCTGCAACAACGCATGTTTTCCTCTCGATGACGCCACGTCTCTTCCGGCCACGCCCGCCACAGCAGTCTGCCACGAGGACCCGTCATCCACGTGCGCCAACAGTAGGTGCTCCCTGCTGACTACAAAAAATGTGTAGGCCTTTAGTTGAACAATTCGTGCAGATCTCGACCCCCTCTCTCGCGTTTCTATTTCTCTCCTACTTCGACTTATGTGTAGTCCCGCCCGCCCGCCGATTTGCGGTGTGCCCAACACACGTTTACAAACCCCCACTCGCATCAGGAGCAACAGCAGCAGCAGGTCGGAATGCCGGCGGCGGGCTGTGGAACCAATGCGAGTACCATATTTTGTCAGTGTGGGTGTGGGGCACCAGCGGAGGCGGCTGCGGCGATTCATGCCGCAGCTGCCGGGCGGCGGCGGCAGCAGCAGAGCCAGCAGCAGCAGCAGCAACAGCAACAATCGGGAGCCCATCACCCTCACACGGCGCAATTTCCGGCGATGAACGGTGGTCAGGCTATGATGCACCCTGCGATGTACCAACGGCCAACTCCGTATCCGGGCCAGCAAGATATGGTGAGACACGACCCCGCCGTCCTTGTGTATCATTCGACGATATCTGCGAGCAGCAGCGCAGCAGATATGCTGGTGCAAATGCAAATGCAGTTGGCAGCGTACAGATCCCGCGAAACACTGAGATGCATCCAGGGTTGCTATAATTTGTTGTGTTCCGGCGCTTGCGAGGCATGTAATGTGTGGAACAACTCACGAGGTGTGTGCTCTTTAGTGCTGTTGGACGTTCGCTCTTGGTGCACCGCCGTGGCGCGCAACACGTCGTTGGTGTGCAATCGTGTAATAGCCTCTAACTTTCTTTCTTCGTCGGGGGAGACGATCGTGCTGCATTTTTTGGTTGTTGTTCCGATCCAAGTTCGATCCAAAAATTGTTTTTTTTGCTTAGGTCTCACGTAGATCGCTTACCGCCTCCTTTAGCGCAAGTGTCAACATTCCACGTGCGGCACGGCGGTTTGTTCCTTCGGGTCGCGTTGTGGACGAAACAACGCCCTCCTAAGGTGCTGGTCTGCAAAATACCGATACCCACCACGGTAGCAGTTGCTCGCGAATGCCTGGTTGGCGCTGTGTGCTGGCAGTCCCGCATGTTTGCTTCGCGCCTCGTGCCTCCCGAATGAGTTTCACGCGGATGAGAAACGAAACCTCTGAGCCTGTCTTACAACAAGAAACCGTCCCCCCGGAAACTCCCGAACCGCTGCATCTGGACAGCACTACCAGCCGCAGTTCGCAACAGCCTCGGCCATGTCCCAGTACGCGGCCTACGGCGGGAGATTGCCGGCCGAACTCCACGTGGCCGCGGACCCGTACAGGAACGTCCACCACCACCACCTGCCGTACAGCGCCTCCGTGGAACTGCCGCGGGGGGGCTACCTGGTGCCGGCGTCCCCGCACGGCGTCCCGGCGTCCGCCTACCTCGCCGCCCCGGGCCCCGGCGGCCTTAGCTACTATCGCCAGTTTCCCCCCGGCATGGTACAGATGGCGGCCGGAGCGATCCCCGGCGACGGGGAGCCATCGGCCGGGGCCAAACTGGCGGCGGCGATATCATTCGGCGGGGGCGTTAGCGGCGGTGGGGCCGGCAGAACCCCGCCAGAAAAAGCCCCGCCTCCATCCCCGTCGGCGGCGGCGTCCTCCGGCTACCCCACGGGCGGCGGACTGACGGCGGCGGTGGCGGTGGGAGCGGCGGCGGGAGAAGGCGGCGGAAAGCAACCGAAAGAATCCATACTAGAGTCGCTGCTGGCGGCGAGGTCGGAGAGGCTGTCGGCCGGGTCGATGGAAGCGGAGGAGTTATCGTCCGGAGAGGCCGCCGGTGCCAAGAGCAACTGCGGCGCGACGGCTGCGGCGGCGGCGGCGGATCGAGAAAGCGGGTGCTCCCCTTCCTCCCCGCTGCCGCCCAATCTGCAGCAGGACACCGGCGCGCACGCCGCCGTAACGGGCGGCGGCAAAGTCGGCATCGAAGCGGGCGACAAGTCTCTAGCGGAGGAGCAGCGGCAGGCCGTGGAGGCCGCACATGGCGCAGTGACGGCGGCGGCGGCGGCACCTTCGAACAGCAGCCCCGACGGCGGGCGCACGGTGGCCGCCGCCGCGCCCCTGGCCGCGGCGGCGAACGTTTCGGCGGCGGTGGCGATGCACCTCACCGGGCTGTCGGGGAGTTTCTCGGGCGTGGGCGGCATGCACCACGGGATCGGGACGATGCAGGGGGTCGGTGGGATGGCCGGGATGAGGGGAATGCCACCGCCCACGGCGGTGACGGTCTCCCCCGCGGGCGGGCCGGCGGCCATGCAGCCATACATGGCCCCGGTGGGTGGGTTGCCGTCTCCCTCGCCGACGGGAGCGCCCCACCAACCGCAGCAGCAGCAGCAGCCGCAGCAGGTCCAGCAGTGTCAGCAGCAGCATTCGGCGACGGGCTTCGCGAGCCACGACGCGTTCGAGGAGCACATTCGGCAGCAGGAGAAGAAGCTGCAGAAGCGCGCGGCCAACCGCAAGTCGGCCCAGCTCAGCCGCAAGCGGAAGAAGGCGCTCATCGAGGAGCTGCGGTACGAGAACCAGGACTTGCAGCGGCACGAGGACATCCTCGAGGTGATTCCGGACCCGGTGTTCGCGTTCGACACCGCCAACGGCCGCGTCTGGTTCGCAAGCACCTCGGCGTCGGCGCAGTTTGGCCTGTCGGTGGAGGACCTGACTTCGGCGTGCTTCTTCGACCTCATGACCGAAGACTGCTCGAAGCGCCTGCGCGTCCTCATCGACACCGCCGCGAAGGAGGTCTCGGAGACAAACAGCTCCCTGCTGCACGAGGTCTGTGTGTGTGGGTGTGCGCGTGTGCGCGTGTGTCTTGATTATTGGCATCGACCGCGCTGGCCGGCTGACCAATGAAATGCGTCAGTTCAGCACGGTCGAAAACACAATGCACTACGTGATGCCATCAACCGGAAACCCGTGAGGGGGCGGGCCATGGGGGAGGCTACGCTATTGTCCGGGTTCAAGACGGAAACGGTAGAAACGAAGGAGCACTGCACGGGTTCACCGAGGCTCCTGCTACCTTGCACTCGAGTTCGCTTTGAAGTGATTTCACCATTATCCTCCTTGCTTTCACCGCCATATTTTCTCATCGTCGTTTACAGCTTGTTTTCGGCAGTTTTTCTATAGCCCCCGCCTCTTTTGTTGGTATTAGGAAGGTCATCTGGCTGTCTTGTGTGTGTGTTTGTTTGTTTCGTTCTTGTCTAGTCACGTGCAGTAAGCGCTCAACGCGCACAGTATACTGCGCTGTGTAAAAAGTCTATTCCGTGGTCACACAGAAGGAGCCTTCCGCCGGTGCCCGGGCCCCTACCCGCGGTGCTTGCCTTCGAGTTTTGTTTTGACGAAATTGTTGGCCCCCACATTACTTCTTTCGTGGCTCTCATTCTCTCTGCATGGCACAAACAAGCATTCTTCAATTTCTCCCCCCATGCTAGCTAGTCTTGGCAGGGACGCCGTCGTACGGCAGTCAAGTCCGATGTTTTTTTTTTTGTTTTGTTTTTGAAAAACAATTAGAAGGGCGAGGCACAAAGCTCCGCTTGGGTGTCCGTGTGTGCTTGAATGGCGTGCTCGCGTCCTTCCTTCTCACGCGTCTTCCGTCGTTTTCATTCCTTGGCCCCGTTCTTGCCGCCTCCCACCCGTCCGTCCGTGCCGCGACGCGAAAATCGGTCTCAGCGCATGACCGTGAGGTTCAAGAAAAGGAAAGGGGCCATCCTTCTGGGCGAGCTGAGCGGCCGCTTGTCGCAACTGAACGGCGTCACGACGGCGGTGTGTAGCGTCAGGCCGCTCTCCCTGGCGACAGACGACATCGTGGGCAAGGTACGCATGTGTACATGCGACCTGACCTTTCGTTTTTGGGTGGTTTGTAGATGTCCTAGCCAGTAGTATTATAATATTGTTTGTGCTTCGGCGGGCGTCATGAAAATTGGTTGTTTCTTCAACGCCACCGCTGGTGTGTGAAGCGACTTGACGATTTTTCCAGAGCTCTCCCCTTCTGGGCCACTTGTCGAGCCGACCTTATGTACGCACGACTCGTCGACTCGTACGATGCCTTGGGAATCGCCATCCATTCTTGACCGTAGTCCTACGTCCCCCCCGCCCCCCCCGCAGGGGTACATCGGGGATGCGAGCGTCGGCGAGCTGGCAGAAGACACAAGCGCCGACCAGGGGAGCAGCAGCGAGGACTCGCGCAGCGCGGGCACGGGCCAGACCACGACCGGCAGCAGCGGCGACTGCACGTCCTCCGGCCTCGGCACCGGCTTCACGTCCATCGCGGACGAGGCCTCCTCCAGCGGCGGCGGCGTGCCCAGTCTGTCGTCCCTGGAGGTAAAGCGGAGGGACGGCGGCACGGCCACGAGCAGCAGCGGCGACGGTGGCGGCGGCCGCGGCAACGCCTCCAATAGCACGGGCAGCGGTGGCGGGAGCGTCGGCAGCGGTGGCGGGAGCGTCGGCGGCAGCGCCGGCGGCAGCGTTGGCAGCGCGGGCGGCAGCGAGGAGGGCCTCGGGGACTACAACAGTGAGGAGGCCGACTGCGAGGGGAGCACGGATAGCGACGGCAGCCGCGGCTCCAAGAAAAAGAGGCGAAAGCAGTCGGAGTCGACCGCCGCCGCCGCTGCCGCTGCCACCGCTTCCGCGGCAAGCCGGAAGCAACAGCAGGCGCGAGCACGGTCAGTTGCGTTTGGCGGTTGCGGCGGCAGCGAAAGCAACGCAAGAACGCCTCCCTCCGGGCAGGGGCGCCGTCCTTCGCCGAACAGCGGTGGCTCCTCGAACAGCTGCGGCTCCTCCGGGGGGACCCGCAGACAAAAACGGAGGCCGTCGGCCGCGACGTCGTCAAAACGAAGCGGTGGCGCGGATGGTGCCGCGAAGGCCGCGGAGGCGGACGGGAACGACAGAAGCTCGGCGACCGCGGAGGCGTTGGAATGGCCGGAGGGTAGCCCCAACCCCGAGCCACGCGATGCTGCGGTCGCGGCGGCGGCCTCGGCATCTTCAGCGGGTTCCCGCGAGAAAGACGGTAGCGGTAGATGACACTGCACAGGCCTGCGTGCGGGTATAGGTGGCCCGCCCGCAGGCGATCCCTCTATCTTGCAGAGGTGGTTTTGCCCCTGAGTGAAGGTTCGATAGTTAAGATTGATTCTTGTTTTTGTCCCCCCTCGTCGTTGTGGACGTGAATTTGAGCTTTTTAAGCAAAAAGTGGGTGGCGGGGGCTCTGTCGTCGTCCCCCGACACGGTTGGCTGTTTCGTCTTATATTGGAGATCGGTGTGCCAGCGGCACAACACGATATTTTTCGTTCTCTCGATCTCCTGTGTGTGTAATGGGTGCGAAAGGAAGTTGAGTTCATAGTTTGGTTCCTCCTACTAAGCAGTTGGGTTGCAATTGCGGCATAAATTTCCTTGTTGCGGACCTGGTGGTCGGTTGGGCATGCACGGCGGTTAAGCACAACATCGCCTGTTTTACTTGGAAACCCTTTGGCTTTTCCTTGTCTTCGGCTTTTCCTCGTCTTGCGGGAAAGGGTTATTGCGTCAACAACCACCTGCCTGTCTGTCAGCGGTGTGGGCAAGGAGGTGTAAGAGTAGATTTTAACGTTTCCGGGGACGATCGGTGGATGTATGTATATATGTATTCCGCTTGAGCAAAGGGTTGCAGGATGTCATGGTTAAGACGACACCCCCCTGCGCTCAAGTTGACGCTTTCGATCGGCTTTTTTAGTGTTGGAGTGGGTAGTAACAGGAGGTGTGAAGTTCGTGAAAAACGCATGAAGAAGTCAGCAAAAGTTAATACGGTCGTATCGGCATGGTTTGGTTCAATCGTGTTGCCACGGTAGCCTCTTTTTTTTTAAGCTATCGGAAACGTCGTTGTAATCCAAGCACGCGCTCTCGCCTCTACAACGCCAAGTCGAACACAGCAGTTCCTGCGTGACGACGTCATGATGCGAACCTTTCTTGCTTCTCCGGGGAGGTGCGAATTGCCCTGCTCCAGCAACGAACGGTGCCCCATCATGACCAACCCCCCGCACGTGACAAGAACGCGGAGAATTCTTGTGCAGCTCCAGATAAATTATTGCCACCTTCGGCATGGTAAAGATTGTATGCATACCTCATGGCATTCTCGGGTCGCCCAGCCATGTATGTCTCTCCTGAACCTTCTGACGCTTGGACGGACATGGGTTTGAATCGTGGTACAGCCACAGGAATCGTTTTTTTTTTTTTTCCGCCAATACGTGCACGCCCCAGCGACATTTTCGTGCGTTCCCAAAGTTCGACTTAACGGTTGACGAGGAAACAGAACGGCTGAATTCCTTGCACGAAAAACATCAAAGTAGGCACGGCAAAAGGAGCGCTGGAATATGAGTCATCCATTACCCGGGCCGGCTCGTCCAGAACTGTCCCGTACCGAAAGGTGACTTCCAGAAATAATGGGATGACATAAAAGTTCACATGTGAGAGATTCCTTTTGCGTGTTTCGGCTGTCGTCCTGTGATCGGCTGTCAACAACTGTTTTGGCGTTGAGGTCCCACTCAAGCCCTTGGTCAAGCAATCGGTCTTGGGCGCTTTGGAACGAACAATTGCTATTACGAACGTTCGACTCCCGGCAGCTGGCTGTTCAGTCTATAGCAGCTAGGACTCGTTTAGAGCGCCGTCACACCCAGAAGCCGCTCTCCCGCATGTCAACTGGCATCACGTCCTCCCACCATCCTCAATCAAGTACCATCACCGATCGAAAGAGCAACCTCTTCGCCAACCCTGCTACTGTGCTCCCAGTCTTCGTAGTCCCGCCCGAAATGGCCAAATCAGGCAATCCCCGAGTACGGAAATCACCAGGGGCACTTGCGGATCGCGGCGATCCAAGCCTCACACGGTGCCCCCCCCCCGTCCGCGGCCGCTGGCATGAGCTCGCGCACCGTTGACGACAGAGATTCGTCCGTAAGGTCTAACTTTCCCTCCTCCTCCTTCTCCTCACCGCCGCCGTCACCACCGCCGCCCGCCCACTGCGCGCCTCTGCGCAGCCGTCGGTCCTTCTGGATCGCCCGCAGCAGCAGGTGGAGCGCGGTTGGCCGCTTCCACACGGCCTGTTCATTTCAGTTGTTGACACCCACCGCACACACACAGATGGATCGGTCGGGGGTTGGACTAGGACCTACAGCCTCCGGCATGGGATGGATGGGTTCGCGGGACGCACGGAGGGAAGTCGAACACCATTTCACCGCTCTCAATGTCAGGCAGATGCCGCCGGGAGGGCGAGGGTTCGTGCTTCGCGAAAAAAAAAAAAGCCAAGGACGACACGACACTACAGGACACTGAATAGTGGCTGCTGCACTCAAGGTTTCCTCGCACCACACAGTGTAGAATGCAACAACAACAACGACGACGACGACGACGATAACGACCACAGTCAAAACCAACTACTCGCCTCCATCTCTCGATCCGACACCGCGGTGCGGTCCTCTGACGCGGACGGCATGGCTCCCTTCGCAACGGCCTCCTTCACGTGTGGGTCGGTCAGTGTGAGCCCTATCACCTCCCGCCACAGGGAGTCGGCGTGCAGGTACGATTGCTCCGGAAGGCCCGCCTGAGTTGTTTTTTTCAGCAGAAAGGGTGAGCAGAATCGGGGGCGTCGTTGGCCCGACACGATGGTGAACATGTCGTATAAACGGCGGTAGAATAGAACGCATACCTGAGATAAACGCTACCAGGGCCGGGGGGGTCATCGTGTGCTTTGACCGGGCACTTCGGTTGTGTTTTCTTGATGATACGTTACTTATCGCTTTTGCAGCAGTACACAACGCTGCGTGGAGGGAATGACATCAACTTCGTGTGTGCCACTGGATCATGATTGGCCAATGGGTAGGCCTCCTAGACGCAGCTTTGCAAGAGTACGCCTCTGTCCGCCTTGTCTGTGAGCGAGCAACAACACCAACACCAGCAGCAGCAGCAGCAGCAGCAGCAGCAGCAGCAGCCAAAACAACATCAACAACTGCTGCATCGACGGGTACTCACGACGAGGGCCCGGTACCCCTGGAAGGCGATGTCTGCCGCCCGGACGACGCTCAACACACCCGCGACACCCCCCTCCTCCGATTCTTCTGCGGGCCCCCCTTGCCACAGAGAGTTGAGCTGGCTGGTCGATTCCTCGAGGGCATCCTTCCAACCCCAGGGCTCGTCGCCGTTGATCATGGCGTCCATCGCCTGCCGCCGGTTCGCGGATCGTTCCGAGAGCAGTAGATCAAGACAAAACACGCGAGGGTCACAGCGCAACACCGCCAGGCGCGATGGTGGCCAACAACCAAAAACCAGAGAACAAGCGCGCGAGAGACCGGATACACAACCATCCTGGGGGGGGGGGAGGTTCGCTAGAACTGTTTCCATTCTTGGTTGGTCTCTTGCGTGGTACAAAAAGTCATGTAGGTAGTTGCCCATGACCTCATTAGTTCAGGGACATCTCCCCCGTGTATGTAGCTGTGCAGACAAAAAAATATATATACAGTTAAGGTATGCGCCTGACCCTGTTTTTGGGCCAAATTTCTGTCCAGCGGATGTTCTTTCGAACAGCCCATTCTTCTGATATTTATATTTCGTGGCCAATCAATCCCCGCATTTTTGACAGCCAAGTCAGCTCGACAAGCGAAAAGACCTGTGGTGTGCGTTGATTTTTTGTAAGCTGTAGCAGCCCCCGTTACCACCCGGCTGTGGGGCCGCACGGATATTAAATAGAGAGAAGGACCGTCACCGCCACCCATGGCGCAGGCACGGTCGCAAAAGCTGCAATAGCGGCGGCGGCAGAGCCGTTGCACCCGGGCTCAATTTTTCGGAGATGAGCAAAAAAAAAAAAAAAACACCGATGAGATGGAGCAGGTAGGTCTGACTTTTTCCAAAACGGAACTGAAGCCGCCGCCACCTTGTCGCCCTTCTACGGGGTTGAAGAGACATTGCATGGAAAGCAGAGCAACCACTGTTATTAATGGCGCAGATACAGTAGCAAGAGCTGTAGCGACGCAGGCCGCAGCAACGCTGGAAGTACGGTTGAATGATTCAAAAATCAGTTGCTCAACAACGTGCACACACGCACACGGAAGAGGCAGCGATCTCACCCAAAAACCAATACACACTCCCGTTACCGCCGGTCTATGCGGCTCAACAGACATTGCAAGCAAAGGAAGAGAACCACTGCTACTCATGGTGCAGGAACGTTAGCAACAGCTGCAGTAGCGCCGGTGGCAGGGCCGTTGGGCCTGTGCACCATTTCAGAGATGATGAGCTGAAAAACAAACACCGACGAGGAAGAGGTACGTCTGATTTTTACAACATAGTACCAAAAAGGACTGGAGCCGCCGCCGTCCTTCCCGCCCTTTCAGGGGGTCGAAGAGACATTGCGAGGAAAGCAGGGAAACCGCTGCTACTCATGGAGCAGCAACGGCAGCAGGAGCTGCAGTGTAGCGTCGGTGGTGGAATTAAGAATTGTTCCCGAAACGTCAGGTCATAAAAAATCGCACGGAAAAATCTGTCCCACAGCACAAGTTGAGCATTTTCCACAGCTGTGCCCGCTTCGCCCCCGCCCCCAAACGCCAGACAGGCCACCCCCTCGCTCTCTCCCCCCTACTGTTGCTACCTCCAGAGCTCGCTCCCTGGGTGCTCGCCCCGTACACGGCAGTGGGCCTCGGCGCTCTTGATGCGCCCGTCGCTACCGAATCGGCTGGTTGTGTAGTCACCACATTCTTTTTTTCGACAAGCCGGGGACTTTTTGGACCCGTGCGTCACCCAAAAGTACCCCATCGTTGGATTCGTTTCGAGAGATGTTGGCGCAACGGATCCTGGAGCTGTTTCTTGTGCCACCTCCGTGAACACGATAGCTACGATTTCATCGGACGCGATTCCATTCAAGTTGCACAAGTTCGTGGTAGCAGGTGAAAAGGGCCGAAAAACACTTGTTTTTAGAGTGTTTCATGGGTTCTAACCCGCCGTGTGAAAAACTATCCAAAGAATCTGTCGATGTGTCCTGTTCACAGGTGTGTACTGAACCGCAAGAGCCAGTTCGTTCTTGGCATCGAGTATTTCGGGTTCTCCTCTCGCTCTTTGAAATCAAGTCAAACAAGATTTGGCGCCGTCGGCCGGAAAGCGGAAAAACTTTGTTTTCGCGGTTTTTCAGCCAACAGCCTGACCACGCGCATACACAAAAAAGGGGGGTCAGGCGCAGGGCTAACAGTGCTGCCCGAGCCAACAACGAACATCCTTCCTTCTAAATAGCCTAGTTTCTGAGGCCAAGAGGCTGGCGGTGCGTGTATTGTCTCCAGCACATGATTGTCCTACATGCACCACGCATTTTCCAGAGAGCTACAGCACTGCAAAAATCCCTTCTCTACGACCCTCGCCATGAAAAACACCAACAAGCCTCCGCGACAAGAGAGGCGGTGTGAATACCCCCTTCCCTAGCGCTTGGTGTTGTGCTAGCCTGGTCCGGTCAAACCCGGCGTGCTCTGTCCTTGCTTTGTAGCGATGCCCAGTCAATGGCCTATAACGAAGACGGCATGTTCGCCTATGGGTATCCCCCCTCCTCCCAAAAAAACAAACACTTACATCATTAGCCGGCAGAGACTCAATCAGCTTCTCGCGGACCTCGGCCAGCTCCAGGCGACGCTGAATCTCGCCTCCTCGGACGAGGTCAACCGTAACCGGGTCAGAGGAGGCGTTGGGCCCGTCGTCGCCGCTGCCGCCAGCTAGGTTGGCCAGCTTGGCCAGGCTCAGCCAAAGGTGCTGGGCCTCGCACTTGCCGCCCTTCTGATTGGCCGGCGGCGATCCCCGCGCCAGGGCCCTCCTTGCGCCGGTGTAATCTCCGCGGCGAATCTGATTGGGCGAAGGGTTGGGGGGGGAGGGGCAGAGAAGACAAATTGACCTGGTGAATGGCTCCAGCCTCTCCGCGAAACCAAACTTCAATACACGTACGGCACAAGCAGGAGCGACCACGGGGTGCAAGGTGGGAGACGACCAGCTATGAATAGCGCTTGTAAATTAAGTAGTAATTACCCCGGTTAAACTGGCGGGACCTCCGGCAGAAACAAGCAAAAAGAAAATAAACAAGAAGCACATGTGTGTTTGTTGTTGTTTGTTGTTTTTCTTCACATTAAACTCGTGTCAGTTGCTAATCCCAAAATCTAGCAAAGACTCGGTCCGTGGTCACAAAAATGACAGCGTGTGTGCAGAGCAACAAATAAGAACACATTAAAAAATAACAAAACAGGTACTGCTCTGCTAACGCTATAAATCGAATACAATATATTCTAGACCATCATGGATAGAGATGGATGGAAATATCGAGAAAAAAAAAGAAGACACTACGTGCCTGGAAAATCCAAAGTAGCTCGGCCTCCTTCCAGTCCGCCAGGAACTCGCACAGCATGTCCGGAACCACCTCCCCGACTTGGAGCAGGGCAGTCTTGTAACCGTGCCGGAGGTGCCAGTCGAGAACGAAGCGCGCGAATGTCTGCCTCTCAGCCCTAGATTCCCTGGACTCGACGCCGCCGCCGTCAGCGGCCTTGCCTTCTTCCTCCTGCCCTCTTCCCTCAAACCTTCTTCTTGGGCCTTCCATCCTCTGCCGAAGCAGTCGGTGGCCGTTCCGGCACCCGGGCTGAGCACGGTGTCATGTTGTGGTTCGACATGCCGGGGAGAGGACGAGGAGGCGGCCGGAGAAAGACGGAAGGCGTGCGGTGGGTCGAGAGAAAGGGGGTAAAAGAGCCAGTTGGAAGCACCGCGCCAAGGCACCCACTTCGCCAACCAGAGGACCGGGGAAGAAAAGAAAGCAAAAACCAAACACAAATTGCACGAGAACCAAAAAAATTATCAAGACCACAACGCAGCAACACACCCGCAAGGCACCACGCGAACGCAGTACACTAAAGAGAACATAAGACAGAAGCACCTCTAAAAACAAGCACCCACACCCACGCAGGTTCGGTGTGCACTCCGGAGAGCCCAACGCACAACCACCAGTCGTCTAGGCTCTAGGTACCAACAACTCAAGTGATCCATCTACACCATGTGTAAAACCGACACTAGTTTCCCGATCTCAGATACGTATATACCCGCGTTCGACCACAACCACCCCCACCTCCTCCTCCTCCTCCTCCTCCTCCTCCTCCTCCTCCTCCTTACCTTGCGCCCTTCGGCTTTGTGGCAGATCGCTACGGTGCCCTCCGGGTACCCGTGTATATCGGCCAGCTCGAGGGCGAGGTCCTCGCGCCCGCACGCGGCCACGACCTCCACGCACAGCTTCTTCGAATTTGTGTATTCCTTCTCCCACTCCACTGCACCGCCAGCGAAACGGGGTTGCGAGGAGAGGGGATGGGATGGGGGGGATCGGGTATTTTCCATTTGAATATCGAGTTTCTGGTCCGTCCTTTGTAACGAAAATATAGTAGCGGTTCGACTCGCTCGGCGGAGTAGGGGTCATGAGTCCTCGTGGCGTGGGTGACGGCCTGATGTTTTTTGGGAGGAGGTGCCGTGTTTTCAGGGCGCCCACGCATAATTCCCTTGGTAAAACTGCAACGCTCTTGCTATTAAAACGCATGGAATGAGCGTATGTGCGGGGACCGACGGCAGTGCGCAACGGCATGCAACCGTAACACAGCAGCAGGAGCTTTAAAAAGAAAGAAAAAAACGTCCCGACAACCGTCTCGGCTAGCCAACACGACCAGCTATTGATGCGCTTCTCTGTGGCAACAACGGCTTAATTGAAACATTTTCACTTCTAGATGCTGCGCCCGGTCGACTATGCAACTACCCTCGCCGCACCCTTCGAGCCGGCGACTGAGGCGGCGCGTGCCAATCATCGTGTCCCCCCGCATGCGAAACAAAAAACACGAGACAGAACACAAGACAAGAGCAGAGACAGCACATAATCACGCTCTGGAACGCGCGAGACAGACTCAAACACCGCGCACGCGCTCGCCCACACGACGCCGACGAGCTCTCAACAAAAACACGCACCAACACAAAAGAAACGCACACGCACACAGCAAGACTGATGCTGCGGACCCCCCCCAAAACGGACAAGTCCCACCTGCTGGACGGATATATACTGTTGAACGTACGTACGTATGCGTACGTACCTCGACCCGAAGCGGCGGGATTTGCGTCCTTCTCTTCCTTGAAACCGTCGAGCAGCAGCACGGAAAGCCGCTCGATCACCCCGCTGGTTGCCTCTCTGGAGACGCCGCCGCCGCCGCCGCCGCCGCCACCCGCCGCCCCGGGACCCTGCGCCGCCGGTCAGTACGGCAAGAAAATGATCGCATCGTCGGCGGCGTCGGGTACACGTTTGTGTCTGATGCGCGTGTGTTATATCCGAATGTTTGATTTCAACCCGATTTGGCCGGGAGTTGATTCGATGTCTTCGTCACCCATCTGACTCACAGCCAAGAAGAGAACAGGGGGGGCAGGAGGGGGGTGTACTCATAGTCGTCCATGCTGTAGTCGTTAGACCATTGACCTCGCATCCCCACAAAGCCGGGACGGAGCACGCCGGGTTCTCACCGGACCAGGCTCTCACATCACCAAGCGCGAAGCGCCGTGAGATATTCGGCGAGTCGCATGAAGGGTGCGCTGCATCCTGCTAAGGGTTTTCGGCATCTTGTGCTTACTTCCTTGCGTACGGATGACAGCTGCGTATGACTTTATTTTCTGGTGCTTTCACTTCCAGAGACAGTTGTAGGCACTGTGTATCTGCCTCGAGGATCCTTGACCATTTTAACACGACGTGGTACGATCATCCCCCTTTGCGCGGAGTGAGGCTTCTCGACCCCGCACAACATGATCTACTCGACCACCTTTATGGTTACCGCAAAAAAAAAAAAAGGTAACCTG